GTGAGAGAGAGAGAGAGAGAGAAAGGTCTTCCTTTCGTTGGTTTGCTCCCCAAATGGCCGCTATGGCCGGCGCTGCGCAGGAGCCAGGTGCTTCTTCCTGGTCTCCCATGCGGGTGCAGGGGCTCAAGCACTTGGGCCGTCCTCCACTGCCCTCCCGGGCCACAGCAGAGAGCTGGACTGGAAGAGGAGCAACCAGGACTACAACCCAGCGCCCATATGGGATGCCGGCACCACAGGCGGAGGATTAACCAAGTGAGCCACAGTGCCGGCCCCCTAAACTTTTAGACTATGATGTTTGATGATAGGAAAGTAAATACTCAGTTGTGTATGTTTTATATAACAAGCTGAAATGAAACTGGAATTAATTATATAAATATCTCTTCATAGTTTAGTAAGAAGACATTGGCATCCTTCTGTGAATAACAAGTTGTTATCCCATAAAATAGAAGTAGACTAATTCTTTATAGTTTTAGCTCCATCTCAGTTCCACCAATAAGAACATCTCAGCCAATTCTAGATGCTTTCATCAAAAACAAGAAAAAGAATTAAGAAAGCAAGAGAGTAGAATTGTTATCTGAAACTTTAGAAACCTCGTTCACAGATGTCAGCGGGCCGGTGACATCACATTGCCATATCTGAGCACAGAACTCCTGCTACATGGCCAGCAGTGGGCTCTTGGCACCAGCATGTGCTCCTCTGCCATTGGAACAGTATACTTACCTGAAGTCAGTGGTATTTGTTCTGAAACTTGTTTAGGCCACTGGGCTTGTTATGATGATGATGTACATTAATTAAAGTATTATAACATTGATGAAATAGGAATGAGGGAAGAGAATTTTACTATGAACTAAGTTAAATGTTTTGCAAAGGAAGGCTAGTTATGTTATTTAGTTTGCTTTAGAAAGAACTTTAGTAGAGTATAGCAATAAAGAAGGGTAAATTCTGGAGAGCGATATATGTTTGCATTTGAATACTGTTATTTTTTGCTAGCTATGATATTTTGGAAATATTATGTAGCCTTAATGGTTGTGAGGATTAAAAGAGGATCTGTTTAAAAGCTTAACGCAGAACCTGGCAGAGTAGACACTCAGTAAATGCTAGATATTATCTGTACCATATGTTATTATATTACTAATAGGCTCCCAGCAAAAGTGCTCAACATTTTTGTTTGAATATACGTTGTCATTTCTATAAAATGTAGGTTATTAGATCACATGTCCAAAGTATATATTCTCTATGGAAAATCAAATTTGGCAGTATTTATTGACTTGCAGCCTGATTTGCACTTGGAATTTTTTGTTAACTTTTGATTATGTATTGTAAATAACACTGTGTCACCTGTTTCTTGGAGACTTCTGTGCTGTCATCATCATTCTGTTGGGTGGACAAATATTTTAAAAAAATTTATTTGAAAGGCAAAGTAACAGAGAGGCACAGGCACAGAGAGAGACAAAGAGCGAGCGAGCGAGAGAGAGGTCTTCCATCTGCTGGGTCCCCCCCTAGGTCACTGCAACGGCCAGAACTGCTGATCCAAAGCCAGGGGCCAGGAACTTCTTCTGGGTCTCCCAGGCAGGTACGGGGCCCAAGGACTTGGCCCATCTTCCACTGCTTTTGCAGGCCATAGCAGAGAGCTGGTCAGAAGTGGAGCAGCTGGGACTCGAACTGGCAGCCGTATAGGATGCCAGCACTGCAGGCAGCGGCTTTACCCGCTACACCACAGACCTGGCCCCAAGAGATTACTTGTAATCAGTAGTACTCTTATTGGGTAAGGGAAAGAAATACAAGGAGTCTTGAAAACTTTACAGAAGGTGTGTATGGTGGAAAACCTCTGGATAGGTTCCAAATATTTTTAGACCAAAATAAACTTACCTTTTAATTCCATTTTTCCATAAACTTTTTGAAGAACCCACATATTATATAGTTCATTTCTTTAAGGAAAGAAATGGGGAAGAAAGGCCATTGTTAGTGGCTGATTTAACTTCAGTTGCCCACTTCTCTTCTTACCTAGAAGATACTGAACTAGTTTCTGTAACTTATGGTTGATCAGATGGTACTAGATAGATTCAGTTTAGCTATAGTTCACCCACAGAAAAACAGATGTAACATTTGGTACAAGTATGAAAGGTCAAACGTGTGGTAAGTACTATTTTTTTTATTATTTTTTAAAATTTTTTTAACTTTTATTTAATGAATATAAATTTCCAAAGTACAGCTTATGGATTACAATGGCTTCCCCCCCCCATAACTTCCCTCAACCCACAACCCTCCCCTTTTCCACTCCCTCTCCCCTTCCATTCACGTCAAGACTCATTTTCAATTCTCTTTATATACAGAAGATCAGTTTAGCATATATTAAGTAAAGATTTCAACAGTTTGCACCCACATAGAAACACAAAGTGAAAAACACTGTTTGAGTACTAGTTATAGCATTAAATCACAATGTACAGCACATTAAGGACAGAGATCCTACATGAGGAGTAAGTGCACAGTGACTCCTGTTGTTGACTTAACAAATTGACACTCTTGTTTATGGCATCAGTAATCACCCTAGGCTCTTGTCATGAGTTGCCAAGGCTATGGAAGCCCCAAATGGTAGAGTTAGAAACATACCAGGGGATTCCAATTCAATCCCATCAAGGTGGCATGTACCAATGCCATCTCACTAGTCCAAGTGATCAATTTCTGTTCACAATTGATCATAATGATAGGACTAAGAGCCAAAGGGATCACATAAACAAGACTAGTGTCTGCAAATACTAACTGATAGAATAAAAAAGGGAGAGAACGATCCAACATGGGAAGTGAGATATACAGCAGACTCATAGAATGGCAGATGTCCTAAACAGCACTCTGGCCTCAGAATCAGCCCTTCAGGCATGCGGATCCGGCTGAAAAGCCCATGAGAGTATTTCAGGCATGGAAAGCCAAGACACTCTGGCAAAAAAAACAAAAAACAAAAACCCTAAATGAAAGATCTCCGCGAGTGAGATCCCAGTGGAAAGAACAGGTCATCAAAGAAGGAGGTACCTTTCTCTGAAGGGAGGAGAGAACTTCCACTCTGACTACGACCTTGTCTAAATATGATCAGAGTCAGTGGTAAGTACTATTAAGATCTTCACAGCCTGATTATTAAGCTAACAGAAGTGTATGAAGACAGTAGAAGATTGAGCTCTGGCATAGCTGAAGGGTGTTGGTCAATCTAAAAAGCCCACCCAGTTCCAAAACCTGTTTCTTTATAATATCATTTCAGAGATGAGAGAAGTTTGCATACACAGTCTGTAGTTATGCTGTCTACCTTTTACATAAAATAAATCTGTGGTGCTAAATATGCTATGTAAAGAGATTAGGGGACTGTTATGTTTTAGGAAGGTAAACAAGAAAATTACCAGTAGTCAGGTGGTTGAACACATTTATAGAGAAAGTAGCATTCCAAGAGAAGGATGAAATGGCCAAGGTTTCTTAGAATGAGAGAACTATTTCAGGCTTAAATGGGAAGCAGCAATGAGAGGACTAAATGAAGCTGGTTACAGAGGCTTGGCTGGTAAATGGTAGACGGGATGTCCTTGAACAAACTTGCATTGAGTGCAGATATGTTCCTGGCACTCAAGACAGAAAAACAGCATAAGAAATGATCCTCAGTGCGGTGCGCCGGCTGCAGCGTGCTGGCTGCAGCGGCCGTTGGAGGGTGAACCAACAGTAAAAGGAAGACCTTTCTCTCTGTTTCTCTCTCTCACTATCCACTCTGCCTGTCAAAAAAAAAAAATAAATAAAAAAATCCTTTGCTTCACTTACTAGGGGAGACAGGAATCATCCGTTAAATGTTAGCACACTATGTTAGGTGTTTAAATGGTATGAACAAAGTGCTGTGGAAGGACAAAAATGAAATCCATCAGTGGGCAGAAGACATTACATAAGGTTAAACTAAGTAGGAAAAGTGGAAAGAGATTCACTGGGAAGGGGGACAGGGCTTTTTGAGCCCAGGACTTGTGTGAACACAGTGAGGGCCTGCATATATGTGATTTGGGGAGATTGCATAGAGCAGGAAATGAGACACAGTGAAATGAAAAAGACTGGAGAAAGCACTGGGTCTGTGTATAAGAAAGGTTATTTTAGTTGTTAAAAATATGGTTTGGAGAGAAAAACACTAAGTTTAAGAGTTCCCTGTTGACTTTATTGGTTATCTTGATAAAGATTGGCTGCTGAGAGGTAAGTGGGAGCAGAGAGAAGAAAATAAATGGAAGAGGTTACACAAAGGATTTGGTAGCCATTGGATGATGGTGGGGCAGTGGGGGAAGAAAGCAAAAGGAGCCACAAATGACCTTAGATTTTGCTCAACCGGCTGAGTGGATATTATTACTTAAGAGCAATTGTTTTGATGGCAAGAAATAGAAGTTTGGGACAGACAAGGGAGAACAATATTTAGTTTCTGACATTGTGAATTTGAAGGATCTGTGGTAACATCTTGATTCTCAGTAGCTGGAAATATGGGTTGAACATTGAGGACACTGACAGACACATACACACACCCCATCATCAGTGTGGATGGCTAATGATTCTATGGTATCTCTAAATGCAGCCTTCACAGAGAATGTTTGGAGTGAGAAGAATGCCTAGCACTACCTTAGAGAATAATCATTGTGTTCAGGAAGATGTTCTTGTTGTGGCTATAGATGTCCTAAAATTCTTTGAACTGTCACTGCATTTCATAGTCTTTTTTCTGCTTCTCTCTAGCAACGAAGATGTTAGAGAGTTGACTGTATTGATTGTGTGATCTTTAGGCATACTATTTATACTATTTTAAAGCCTTTTTTGTCTTTTAAAAACTTTTTTGATCTTAACCTGAGTGTCTACATGTTATTTTGCTGGGTTTTTAGATTTCACTCATCTGAGTGAACTCTTATTATTGCAAGAAAACTGGTAATTTTTATCATTTAACTTTACTTTTTCAAAATGATGTTTCTATATCATTAGTCACTTTGATTGCTTTTTTTCCTCCATAGGAGCTCATGCAACAGAATGGCATTGGTTATGTGTTAAATGCCAGCAATACCTGTCCAAAGCCTGACTTTATCCCTGATTCTCATTTCCTGCGAGTACCTGTGAATGATAGCTTCTGTGAGAAAATTTTGCCCTGGCTGGACAAATCTGTAGATTTCATTGGTAAGTAGTTAAAGTAATACTGCAAGCCCTTGTGCTCTAGTCTTATATACCCACTCCCCCTATTTTTTCCTTAGAGAAAAGGAGGCTATTTCAGATGTTTCAAAGTCTAAAAACAACACATGCTGCTTACTCATTTGATGGTCAGGGTGATGTGCTGTGCTGTCCCTAAGGGACTGTCCTTATGAGGTTCTAGTGCCTTACACTACCAAGGCTAAGCCTCATAGGATCTGCAATTATATATTTGCAAGTGTTTGAAAACCAGCTAAGCTTTTGGGGTTAAATCCCACACATACAATTTTTCAAATCCTACAACAAAATTCAGAAACTTTGTTGACAATCCTTGTTGCTTTATTTTCCCCCAGAGAAAGGCCAAGTCCTATGAAAATAAGTCCCATTGCATTGAAAATTTTCATGTCACAACATTTCTGAGTGTTAGTCCACACACTGATAACTTTAAGTAGTATTGGGCCTAATGAACTGATGCACAACCCCATGTGGCCACTTGTTTGGTGGTGGTGGTGGTTGTGACAGGACCTGCCCCGTCACATACTGTGTTCTGCTTCCTGGGCCTGCTCAGTTCAGGAGCTTCTCTGTTGTGACGTTCAGTGCTGCAGGACGAGCTCTGCTGGTCACATGTGGGTGATGTGCATTTGAATCATGGTTTTAGTGGCAGGTGGCTGAACAGAGGAGAAAACTGCTATCTCTAGAGCAACGTAACAAGGTGTGTGATTCGATGCCCATGTGAAGGATTTGTTGTTTTTCCACTAGCCACATACAGCACTCTACTCCATAATTAATTGCTCTGGATTTTCACCTATAATTAAAAATAAAAGAACCAGTTCCTTTTTTTTAAATTGTCATTGGGGGCCGGCGCCGTGGCTCAATAGGCTAATCCTCCACCTTGCGGCGCTGGCACACCGGGTTCTAGTCCCGGTTGGGGCGCCGGATTCTGTCCCGGTTGCCCCTCTTCCAGGCCAGCTCTCTGCTATGGCCAGGGAGTGCAGTGGAGGATGGCCCAGGTGCTTGGGCCCTGCACCCCATGGGAGACCAGGAAAAGCACCTGGATCCTGGCTCCTGCCATCGGATCAGCGCGGTGCGCCGGCTGCAGCGGCGGCCATTGGAGGGTGATCCAACGGCAAAGGAAGACCTTTCTCTCTCTCTCTCTCTCTCTCTCACTGTCCACTCTGCCTGTCAAAAAAAAAAAAAAAAAAAAAAATTGTCATTGGGTATTTTTTATTTGAAAGCGTTACAGAGAGAGAGAAGGAGAGGCAGAGAGTCTTCCATCTGCTAGGACCAGTTCCTTTTAAAAAGTGAAGTTAGTAAATTAAGCTCCCCAAGATATTTTTTCACTTATGAGAATTTTCTAGATAAGCTTTTAGAGCATTGATTCTGAAACAGCTCACTTTTCAAGATTTCCATATTGATAAGGATTTTTCATCTTCAAGTACAAAACATTCTGAGAAGTGTCTAAATGACTTAGTTCATGTTAAAATAATCACAAAACTACCCAAATTAATATCCTCCCGTTGTACTTCTAAGAAATAGCATTTTTGCCTCTTGAAAAAAAAGAAAGCAATCAAGGTTACCACTCCATTATATGTCACACTGATACACTGCCATATGGCTGTAATTTCAACCAAAAGTGTCATTTCAGAATGGATCTGGATGAGAATCTGAGTCTGTTCAGTTGTGGCAATATCCAAGCCTTAGGACAGAATAACAGAAATCAGAAAGCAGCAATAACTTTGCTCCAATGTAGCTGCTTCTCTTATGGGAGGTACTGGGGTCATCGTGGCACTTCCATACATACAAAAGGAGCTTTTCAGTACTCTAACTTGATTCTAAATAGACTCAAACACATAGCAAAACTCATTTGTAATATCTGCAAATGTTTCCCTTACCACATTTCATTTATTTGTGTTTATTAGAGCCACCGTCCTTATCTCTGCCAGAGAATTCTAGGCAGGAACTTCCGCTCCTTTTTTGCACTCTGCCCATGCTCACTCTGCTGTTTTTTTTTTTTTTTTTAAGATTTATTTATTTATTTATTTGAAAGTCATAGTTACACAGAGAAGGAGAGGCAGAGAGAGTTCTTCCCTCCACTGGTTCACTCCCCAGTTGGCTGCAATGGCCAGAGCTGTGCCAATCCGAAGCCAGGAGCCAGGAGCTTCTTCTGGGTCTTCCACATGGGTGCAGGGGCCCAAATACTTGGGCCATCTTCTACTGCTTTCCCAGGCCATAGCAGAGAGCTGGATCGGAAGTGGAGCAGCAGGGACTTGAACCAGTGCCCATATGGGATGCCAACGCTGCGGGTTGTGGCTTTATGTGCTATGCCACAGCACTGGCCCCTCTGCTGGTGTCTTTCCATGAATGTTAGGCAGTTAGTCCTGGCAGGGTATGTGATATGAAGATGCACCCTCATTCCTGGATTTCACAGCTCTGAGGCTCATAGGTGTGTTCTCTTCTTGTTACGTAAATTTCAATAAGTCTCTCGATTTGTTGGAAGGACTTTAGATTTTCTTGGAGTTTATATTTATTTTTAGTTATTGTAGGCCATAGTAACAAAGTTTGCCTGTCTTTGCTATGGGACACTCATGAGGTATCCCCAAACCCAGCTGGCTGCTTGTCTAGGTTCTTGCTCTGCCTTCACTGTGTTGGCTCCTGCCCCAGGTCACCCACACCACACTCGGGTCACACTGGAGGCAGTGAAGAGCATGTGCTTAGAAGCCAAACTGTCTGTATTTGAATCCTGCCTTCCAGTGGTCCAGTGCATCTAGGTAAATACTTGATACTTAAGTGTGCTTCAGTTTCCTCATCTGGAGCCTGAAGAAATGTACCTACCTTCTAGACATTTGTGAGGATTAAAATAGATATTTTATATTGCATAGTACTTGACTCAGAACCAGCTCCTCATAAACATTTTAAAAATTGTTATGACAAGTTCTTTGTGCATGCACGTGCTCTCTAGTTATTATTTTTTGATATTTATTTGAGAGGTAGAGTTACAGAGAGAAGGAGAGACAGAGAGAGAGGTCTTCCATCCACTGGTTCACTCCTCAAATGTCTGCAACAGCCGGAGCTGGGCAGATCCAAAGCCAGACCAGGTGCTTCTTCCAGGTCTCCCACATGGGTACAGGGGCCCAAGGACTTGGGCCATCTTCTGCTTTCCCAGGCCATAGCAGAGAGCTGGATCTGAAGAGTAGCAGCCAGGACTCGAACCAGCATCCCATGGATGCCAGCACCATAGGTGGAGGCTTAGCCCGCTATGCCACAGTGCTGCCCCCCCTTTTCTCTTTGTTAAAAAGATTGACTTATTCATTGGAAAGAGTTAGAGAGGGAAAGACACAGATCTTCCATCCACTGGTTCCGTCCCTAAGTGGCCACAGTGGCCAGGGCTGGGCCAGGTTGAAGCTAGGAGCTTCATTTATGTTTCCTACTGGGGAGGCAGAGTCCTGAGCACTTGTCCCATTGTCTGCTGTTTTTCCCAAGACATTAGCATAGAGCTGCTGGGATATGAACCCGCACCCATGTGGGATGCTGGCGTTTCACCGAGCCCAGTTCTTTCTTTAGTCTTCTAAACTTCTCATCCTCTCTGGGTCCTCATCCCCCTTATTTGTGGCCCTCTCATCCCCTTTTTAGCCTACATTTTGTTCCTGAATTTCTCTAGCGGCAACCTGCTGTTTTGTCTTTTCAGTTTTCACAGTCACTGTCTCCTATTGTTCCCCATTCTGCAGAGGCTCCTTAATTTCCTACATAAAAGCAACTCTGGCCTAAGACTTCCAAGAACCTCCAACACCTGCTCCCCACCTGTGAGACTCTCTGGTAAACTCCTGTGCAGCTTGGCAGTGCTGTGCTGTGCTTAGTCCCAGTGCACATTTCCCTTCTCTCTACCAGCTACTCATATTATTACTTCCTTTAAGACTCAGGTTAGCACTGTGTCTGCCAAGATGTGTATGCTAATAAACCCCACTCCAGTGTAATTGCTGTTTTTTTTTTTTTACATCTTCTAAATTTTGATTTTTAAAAGTTTTATTTATTTGAAAGGCAGAGTTAGAGAGGAAGAGGCGGGGGTGGGGTGGGGTGGGGTGGTATCTTCCATATGTTGGTTCACTCCCCAAATGGCCACAGTAACCAGAGCTGAACCAGTCGGGAGCCAGGAGCTTCTTCTGGGTCTCCCACATGGTTACAGGGGCCCAAGGACTTGGGCTATCTTCTACTGTGTTCCCAAGACCATAGCAGAGAGCTGCACCAGAAGTGAAGCAGCCGGGACTCGAACCAGCACTCACGTGGGATGCCAGCTCTGCAGGAAGCAGCTTTACCCACTAAACCACAGTGCCGGCCCCATAAATTGTGATTTTTCATGAACACGTAATTATACATATTTATGGGGTATGGTGTGATATTTCAATATATGATTTTTAAAAAAGATGTTATTTACTTACTGTAACCCTACCTCTCAAATAAATAAAAATAAAATCTTTAAAATATTTATTTATTTGAAAGGCAGAGTTACAAATAGAAGGAGAAACAGAGAGGTCTTCCGTCTGCTGGTTCACTCCCCAAATGGCTGCAAGGGCCAGACCTGAAGCCAGGAGTTCTTCTGCGTCTCCCAAGCGGGTGCAGGGGCCCAAGCTCTCTGGCCATCTTGCACTGCTTTCTCAGGCCATTAGCATAGAACTAGATCATAAGAGAAGCAGCTGGGTCATGAACCAGCACCCATATGGATGCCGGCACCGCAGGTGGAGACAGCCAACTTAGCCACAGCACTGGCTCCTTTATTTATATATTTTTGTTTTGTTTGTTTTTGTTTTTTAGAGGAAGGGTTTATTGTCAGGTGGGGGAAGCCCGACGGGTGTGGGAGAGAGGGCAAGAGAGTGAAAGAGAGGGGGTCAAGAGAGATCGAGAGAGAGAGTCTTGTGTGGGAAGCAGGTCCTATTATATACCTTTGCAGGGGTAATATGTTTTCCATATGCTGGTTCCTTAAGTGGCTGCAACAGCCA